AAGAAATTTCTGTCATCAACATCATCTATATTTAACCATGTTTCAATCATTCCCATTATATCAAAATCCTCCATTCCTACCTGTACTCTAAAGTCATCTATTTTATTTCTTATACTTCTAGTATTACAATAGTACCAATTTAGCCTATCCTTATAACTTCTTCTATACCCATTTCCTGTCCTAAACTTTTCTCTGCCACTTATTCTTTTTGCATTTAGTTTTTCCTGGCCCCTAGCACTGCCTAGTCCTAGTTTAAAACTTCCCTTACAGCTAAGTTAATAACCTTAGCAAACAAGCCAGCCCTTGCCCTATTTAAATGTAAACCATCCATTCCAAAAAGCTCCCTTCTTCCACTGAACTGATCCCACAAGCCCAATCAGCCAATTTGCTCATCCTTGCATACTAACCTAAGCCTAGCATTTAGCTCTAGTGACCTACTTATAACTTCATCCCTACAGTTAATTCTGGGCAGTATCCCTGACAAAATTAAGTTATGGCCTTTTTTCTTCAAACGCCTTTATCAACTCCTTGTACTTATTAATTAACTCCTTTGACCTACCTTTCCCTACATCATTAGCCCGTACGTGCACCACAAATATTGCATCTCTGCTAGCCCCCTTTATTATATCTCCTGCTGTCAATTATGTCCTCCACCTGTGCCCCTATTTACCCCACAGACTATTCTATCCACATGCCTTGTCAAGGAATCACCTATAACTATAACCTCCTTATCATCCACATTCTTCTCTGACCCATTTATTTTCCTTCCCTCCAATAGTTCCCCATCTGCAGAAGCCAAGGGCTGAAATTTGTTGCTCAACAGAATAGGCTTACTGTAACTAAATTCACTACTTTTTACCTTAAAAAAAGTAGCCTATATGATCACCTAAATTTGATAATTAATTAGTAACTTATTTTTATGTTTATATGAACCTATCTATAAAATATATATAATATTAAACATAGAAGAGTAAAAGTGAAACAATACAGGGCTTACTGCTTCAAGAGTAAACCTCAGCATTTTCACAAAAATGAGTTTGGAGCATCAGTACTGCAAAATTATACATAAAACTTTTTTTGCAAGTTACACTATAATCTGCTCTATAAAGCTCTAACAAAAACTATACTAAACACTCAGACTCGAAGTAATCCAAGTGCAACAGAGAGACTTCAAAAACATAAATATAATTAATTAATGAATAAGTGTTAGTGTTTAACATCATGCATTACTTTACTCATTTTAATTGGCACAATCAATAAATGTTGAAACTGAAAGGTATTGTAGAGCTAAACTATATACAGATAAGATTGAAATAATTTTGTTTCTTGTTATTGTCCACACTTTCTCCACTTGCATGTTCTCACATAACTCATCTTTTAACCCAAAAACCAACAAAAATGAGAAAATATCAAGAAAACATCCTACATTTACTTATAAAGTTACAGCAAAATCTAGTTACTGTAATGACAATGCACAGCAACTTTCTCTATAGTTTCCTTTTAGAACATTTCACAAGATTTATCTTTGAATTTAGACTTTTCAATAGCCAGAAATATTTGCTACATTCCTGAAATGAAACCACTTTAGAATCCCTTAAATGCAGAAAAGTTGCTGTAAAGAAATTACAACACGATGCAAGCCAATCTTATAATAGGCTGCATAGAGCAGTTAAATTCAGAAACTAAACATAAAACTAAACTTTAATCATGCATAACAAACATATTTATGTATGCTAGGGCTGACTAAACATGTAAAATAATTCTGCTTCTTATGTCATAAGAACACACTCAGGATAGGAGACAAGGATAATATAAAACAAAAGTGTTTCAACTCAAGAGCTAAACTTTATTTTGTTTACATACTAGAGGAGTTTAGCATCAACCCAAACACAGGGTCTTCTTTGTTCAGTTATAGTCTTGTCCCAATATTATATCTGAACCATCAACCACAGGTGGGCAACCAGTTAGTAGTAAGCACTTTTGACTTTTCTTTGATTATATTTGATTGTGTATCTTTTAATATTTTTAATATGTATTTTTCATTCTTTTAATAATTAATTATCTTTTCTTCAGATTTTTAATATGCATTTTATATTTTTATTTTTTAACACTGAGACTGATAATTACTGCTTGACACTATTACAACAGAGCAAACAAACCTAAGTTTAGTTTAATACTAATAACACAGGCCTGCAAATTTAAACTTTATAATAGTTGTTTTGGTCTTAATAACAGGTTTTCCACAATTGAAATATGCAGATTTCAAAAATAATATTTATTTTTTTACCATGTAAGGATTTTTTACAAATCGGGAAGAAAACAACTCTTACTTAGGTCAAATTACTATTTCATTTACCACAATTAACATTTTTCATTATTATGTTTGTTAACAAAAAATATAAACAAACTGAAGAAAATGGAAGAACTCTGATGTCAAACGAATATGCATCCTAATTCATCCTGATTTTTTGTGTGAAATCTATGTCTTTTAGTTTCAAAACTAAATGTTGTGGTCTTTCTTTTATGTATTGTGTTATGATGTTTTGTGAAAAATTTTGTACATGATGGAGAAAAATGGATATAACTTTCGGTTTCAGCATACATGAATTACTGTAGAACATGTAAAAATTTCAATACAATAAAACCATCACCGGCCTGTGTAATTTGTATATAGTTATGTAAACTGAGTAAATTAATTAAATATAAGTTGTTGTTTGGACACTTAACTTAGGTATTTGCTTCACAGTAATCAGGCCTAACTATGTTCTAATATTGTGTAATATTAGCATTGTTCCTATCACTTTAATATAGTTTAATTTATTATAATGTAATTTAATATTTAATTTTTTTTTATAAGATACTATTACAATATTGAGTAATAGTGATGGTGTTTGATTTTCTTGTGTTTCTAATCATATATTAACAGGACAAACAAATGTAAGCATAGTATATGTTTAATAATTATTTAATATACACTAGTACAATCAAAGTAAACTGATCAAAGTTAACAATACTAAATTAATAAGCAGAACTACAAAACCCTGTCTTATTAATACACATTAACCTGCAAGTTTATGCTAGTCATTTCATTTTTTAATTTCAAAACAAAATCACTTTCCACCTATACTGACCCACAGGCACCATATGGTGAACACAGCCTTTGAATGTTTCTCAGACTATATTTGTTGTGTTTTATGATAACAGATATTAATATTCCTGTATAAGATAACTAACATATCATGAATAAAAAACTCAAACCCACAGAATCTGGGTAAATGACAAAGTTGATTAATGCACCATAAGAAACAGTTATCTAGCATATACAGATGGAAAACATACTCAGTGTACTTTGCATGAGCAACATAATAAGTCAACACGCCTACAGTATGAAATATTTACATAACTTACACACACACACACACATATATATATATATATATATATATATATATATA